CTCCCTTTTGCATTTTCTCTTATTTTTCTCTTTTTAATTCATATTTTGTGGGGCCATATCTCTGCAATCCGGATTGCCCTCCCCCATTCTAGGAGGGATGAGGTCACAGTTGGGATCTGCCAGTCCCTAGTGTGCAGGTCCCAATAGGCCGGCACATTCTCCTCCACTCTTTTTTCCCCTTTTGTCTCATTCTCCCTCAATTTTCTCTCGTTTTCTTTTTTTTTTCTTTTTTTTTTTATGTGACAAATGTCAATTAGTTGTTAAGTCTTTTTCTAGGCCATGGATCCTCATCCATGGCCAGATTCAGATTCAGCAGTTGGTCGTTATATCTCAGGTTACAGTAATGGTACCCCCATACTCCTAGGGGGCTTCATTTTGCCTCCGTTAGTTCCAATTTTAACCCCCCTTTGCTCCGATTTTCATTGGACAACCTTTTTCCCATGTTGAGCCCCTTGAGGTTCTATTTTCTCATGCCTAGCTAGATCGGGATATCTCGGACTGCTGGGCAGCCCTCCTAACACCATTCCACTTTCTTTTCTCTCATGACTCTCCCACTTGTCCTCACTAGTGCTTCCACTAGTGGTGCTTATATTTTTCATTGTCTAGATCCTCGATCTCGACGGTGCCATTTGCTTGGTGCGATTATTTCTTGTGTTGGCTCATGGTTCCCTTGGGACATCTCAAGTCTCTGCCGCTTTCCTCCGTATTAGTTCCGTTTTCTTGTCTCGCCGGTAGTCCCGCTGGCGCACGCCCCATTTTTCGACTATTTTTATTTGGACCCATTTATTCCCCGGTAACATCCCGGATGACGTCTCATTTTATTTTTGGTCTCCTTGTCCTTGTTGGTTCCAATATCCCTTCCTCAAGCGCCCTACGCGCCCTGATTATTCTTGGTCGTGAGATCTCATCTCACGGTTGCCGTTTACCGTATTTATTTGCATCATGCCGAAATTACTATTTTCTAGCCCTTTGGGTTTGTCATGGCCCAAGTGCAGCCGGGCTCAATATTGGCTCCGGGTGCACCTAAAACATGTGTTTTCCCTTCCCCATGCAGTCCGTTGCAACTCGGACTGCAATAGAGGTCAATTCCCTAGCCCCAATGCCCCACAACTAACCCTCTATTGAAAGAAAAAAAAAACGGGCATCTTCCAAGTGCATCCGGATTCAATTTTGGTTTCCAATGCTCCTAAAACATGTGTTTCTCCTCCCCCATGTAATCCGTTGTATTTCAGTTGCATGGGGCCTTGATTTTCTCTGTAAAATCAAAAGAAAATCAAGGTTCTTTGCAACCGTCATATTCCAGAATGAATCTGGTCACGGATGTATCTCCCCAAGTGACCGTTTTTTACCGTTAAGGCTTTTTTTTTTTTTTTTTTTTTTTTTTTTCCTCATTTTTTTAACAGTAGGGACATGCCAGTCCATACTTGTGGCAGTCCCTACTGACGGCCAGCTCACTCACTCCCTTTCACTCTTTTTGTTTTATTCTCTTACATTTTTTTTTTTTTTTTTTTTTTCCTTAGTATGTTAAGTGTCATATGGTCGTTAAGGCCCTTTTCTAGGCCCTTCCTCTTAGTTTTGGCCCTTCTTATGTCCAAGGTGCAATCCGTTATATCTCAGACTGCAATAATGGCCTCCTCATGTTCATAGGAGCTTCCTTTTACCTCTATTTTTCTCCCACAGTGACCCTTTCTACTCCGATTTTCTCCCAGAGGCCTATTTTTCACATGGGGTCTCATTTGATTCCATTTTCTCGAGGGAGGCTAATCCGAGATTTTTCGGATTGCTCCCACGCCTCCCACTTCAAGTTTCTTTACTTTTTTTTTTTTTTTTTTGACATTCCCGTTTGCTACCGCTAGTGCTTGCACTAGTAGTGCTAATATTTTTGGTCGTCAAGATCTAGATCTTGACGGTGCACCTCGTCTTAATTATTTTTCCCTCATGTGGTGCTGTCGTTTCTTCTTGAGACCTTCACGTGTCCCGCTACTTTTCCCGTCGGTGGTCCTCGACATTTAGTCCTGCCGGTGGCCCCCGACACTTTGTCCCACTGGTGGTCCAGGACACTTAGTCCCGCCGGTGGTCCCCAACATATTTTGTCCCGGATACCATTATTTTTACTTAGTCTCACTTGGCCCTTGGTGCCTTTCCCCAAGGTGTCCCACGTTCTTTGGGCATCGGCCACCCCACCGCGACCCCTCTCCCTTGTCTTTCTCGGGCCTTGCGCGCGCCGATCTCTTCGGTCGCGGGGCCTCCACTTTGAGGCCCCTGCTAACTGCCGAGGCGGCTCCCACGTTGGACCCTTAATTTCAAGCGTCCCACGGCCACCGGGGCCGTCCACCTCTCGACCGCCCTATTCTCTCATCGTCCGTCGCGCCGCATTTTGCAAGTTGACGGCCCCTTTGCCTTAGTTGTGTCAAATTGCAGTGGCCCTCCTGACCTCGTGTTACGCCCCTATGTGCCCATGTTCTCGCGCTCACTTGCTTGTCGTTGCCGGTTTTTTCCCTCGGCGGTTCTCAACGTAGGACATCGTTCCTTTCGGCGGCCTAGTCCTTTGTCTTTTCTCTCGTTTACCTCCTTACTCCAGATTTCTCTGTCGTGCACGATCTAACTATATACAGTCTCTCGAGTGGTGGGATGTTATTCGGGACCCACCGGTCCCGACACATTCTCCCCCCTCATTCGCGATGTCCTCATCGCGTACCAATCTTCTGTCAGTAGGGGTTTGGAGGGATAGATGAGAGAGAAGGACCGAATGTTATAGGTGGTTAGTTTGTCAGGGTCCGTTTTGTCTTTTCTTGTTCCTTTCTCGGGTTTCTTCTAGTCTCTGGTCCTTGGAGCGGGGAGAGGGATGTAGGGTCAAACTTTCTCTGTCCTTCAGGCTTCCCATGTCTCATTCATCATTCTCAGAACACCATCACCCTCAAAGCATCGGACCTCTTTTTGTCTCATTCATCACTCTTAGAACATCAGATCCCTTTCGTCGCGTTCATCATTCTTAGAACATCAGACTCTCTTTCCACTTCTCTCCTCTCATTCATCACCCGTAATACATCAAACCTTTTCTCAACTTCCCTCTTCTCATTCATCACTCGAAGTACATCAAGCCTTTTTCTCAACTTTCCTCTTCTCATTCATCACCCGAAGTACATCAAGCCTCCTCTCGTCCCCCTCCTCTTGCTGCCCCTACTTTTCCCCCGAGCCTTATCATCCCTAACGCCATTTGGCTGATCCTCCTTCCATCCCGTGCCAACCAAGTCCTTTTTCCGGCTTCTGTCGCCCTCAGTGCCTCTTTTACTCGGTTCTTCGGCCCGCGCAATCCATGCCTCCCGTCATCCATGCCAACCTTGGTCATGTCGCCCCTCTATGGTATGGCGTGTGGTTGGGGAGAGCAAATGAGACTTAGAAAAAGAATGGCTCTCACGCCCGTTTGGCTTCACGCCCTTGGCGTTTAGGTTCTCAACATGCGGCGCAGTTTGAACTCCTCGACTAGAGCTCGTTGTCAGAGTTAGTTCTGGACGGCGAGCACCGATCAAAGAGAAAGATGCCTTGGTCCTTCAACCCTTGTCCTTCCTTATGAGGAATAGGTCGCGCCGAGACTTTTCCCTTGACGGGTAGAGTTCATGGGGTCGCGTTGCATGCACCAATATCCCCCTCCTGCTGAGGCCTGAGACTAGAAGAAAAACAAATTTTCCAATGCAATTTCCATATCTTTTCCAATCTGCCTAGGGTCCCCTGATATGCAATGCAATCCTCAATCCTCAAACAATTCTTCAATGCAGATTCCAGATCCTTTCAACTCATTTTTTCTCAAGCAGCCGTGCAAGGGAACCCTAGTAACAATTCCAAAGAATGACCCTTGTCAGAGACCATTCTGAACAACCTGGTTCGGGTCATTCTTTCCATTCTCAATTGAACGGCCTGGTCAGGGCCGTCCTTATCCATTCCAATCGAACGACCTTGTCAGGGTCATCCTTATCCATTCCAATCGAACGGCCTTGTCACGGCCATCCTTATCCATTTTCAATCGGACGGCCTTATCAGGGCCATCCTTATCCATTCCAATCGGACGGCCTTGTCAGGACCGCCCTTATCCATTCCAATGTTAGCACCCGAGGGGGTGGGCCTCGAGGACACGGATCCCATCTTTGTCTCGGGGGTTAGAAGGTGACCATCTCTTTTCAGTTTTCTGTGTGCGGTTTCCTTCATCCTTTCTTAATACAATTTACTAATTTACTATCCATGCATATATCCGACTTAGCGTCTAGTGCTCGAGTTGAGGCTCGCAACCCCAAGCAGCACTAACCCACCCGGTCGTTCAACCATAGCAAAGGACAGGGACACCCCCTCTATTTTCATTCTTTCTGGCCTCTCAGCTCTTGACTATTTTCAGACTTATTAATGACTCAGTTGGATTAGGCTCCTCAAGAAGGGGTGTTCTTCACGCCCCTTTGCCCATAGGTTCCCTAACCTCTCTTATATTCGACCAACACTCAAATGCCTTGTCTTGCTTATCAATCTGAATTCACGGTTCCCTCTCAAAAGCACAATCCTTATTTCATTCAAAGCTCACAATACAACCATCCCAACCGGTCTCGTCCCTTACCCCGTGTCATTGTCTTGCATATACTCTTTCGGAGGTAGCTCATCCAGAAAGTAGCTTCAGAATGCTATCTCCTAACTCATCGTGGCTCAGTTCTAGCTAGTCCTTACATCGCTCATTCCTAGCAAGCTTACTCATACTATCCAGACTTAGTCATTCAAATTTGCAAAAAAAAAAAAACCACAATTCTCGTTCAATGCTGGTAACATTTAATCCCTCCTGCTGTCATATGTCCCATCTTGCTTGGTCCCTTGCCCATCTCGACTTTCGGCTAACTTTTTAACTCCCAGGCCGGAGGCCAGGATTTCCCTCTTTCTCTTCGCGATTTCTTGCAACTCCATCTCACTGTAAAAGTCCAAAGGTGTGGCTGCCAATCCTGCCTCCGTCAATTCTCTGGTCTTGATAATCCAATGGTGCTTGATTACGCTAAGCCACTACTAAAACCAGTGACTGGGCGTTGGCCCAAACTCATCTTCCCATCTGGAGGGCCCTTCACGTGGCTGGTTCGTAGGTGGCCGCCTCTCTTCTCGGGGCTTTGAGATCTCATCCCTCTCGTCGCCACTACTAATCTCGATGATCTCTTGTACCTCCTCCTCCTCGTCCTCATCCTCTGCCGACCGTACGGGGCTGAACTCACTCGTGAAATTCTTTGGATCCAGATTATAAGGGATTTCCGTCCTCCTCCCATATCCTTCCTCAAAATTCGGGCATCTCCCCTCACAACTGTCGTGGCCGCTCTGCTCTTCACGCGGGATTTCCCCTCTTTCTTTCCCATCTTCACGTCCATCGCACATGTCCTGCCTTCCCTCGTTCTCCACATGCCAAGGCTCATGCTGCTCGCATCTCTCGGCCCTTCCTTCGGCAGAGGCCTGAACCCTTTCTCCCATATCCGCTTTCTCTTCCTCGCTCTCACTCCCTGAGGAGATGTATATCCCTTCCCCGTTTCTGAGAGGCGAGGACCCTCTACACACTTGTTTTCTTGCCCCCCTGCCCACTACATGTTTGGACATGTACCCTATGTACAACTTTCTCTTGGCAGTCCTCCGCTCTCGGCTTGGTCCCGCTCCTCCCCCTTCGCTAGGCCTGTTGATCGCCCCGCTATCATTTTCATTGTCGAATTCCATTTTTTCTTTTCTAAGGTTTTTTTCCTGGTCCTGTATAACAAAACAACACCCGCCAAGCCCCTCATACACACATTTCTGCAGTTCAGTAGGAAATACCCCTTCCCCTAAATGCTCCCAGTATGCTTCGCACCAGGCCACTATTATACATTGCCCTTTCATGCAAATGCCACATTTGTAATGACCCAATTATTTTCCTATGAAGAACTATGATACAATGTTCCAACAACCTTTCCCATTACCACACAAAAAACCCATTGGTACAGAAGAGTCCCAAGATATCCCCCCCTCGCATTTTTAATCATCCCAAGCCATTGCCCCCTCCAAAAAAGAAAAGTCCCACAAACGCGGTCAGAGACAGTTCATGGTGTGGGCAAAGCTGTCGTCAGTTCTTAGCTTGTAGACTCCTCAGTTTTCCTTGTCCTCGGCCTCCTGAAGCCATTGTTCCACTGGGTCCCGACTTAGAAACCTGACCAACCGTTGCCTCGGGAAGGGCCCTCTCAATCCAGTTCCATCCAAATCTTCCAATTCGAAGGTGTTCAGTCCCACCCGCTTAGCGATCCGGTAGTTGCCCGGACAAGGTGCTTCCAGTGTCGAGTTTCTTACCAATACCGTCTCTCGCACCTGCAGTGGCTCCTCTCGGATATTCTTAACCTGGTCCCACCTTGCTTTGTCCCTCATCCCGCTGTCTAGTACCCGATTGGCGATGTCTTCCATGACCTCCTCGTTCCTAAGGACTTGTTGACATCTTGCCTCAATTAATTCTTCTATGGTCATACGCGGATCGTCATCGAACTTGTTCCAGGTAGGTATCAAGGCCTCCTCGGGAAAGTCGATCTCTCTTTCATACCAAAGTTTCGCTGGGATACATCCCGTTGTCCTCTTAGGTGTCATGTTCTCCGAGAAGACAGCCTGCTTAAGATACCTAGGCCAACTCCCCAGATTGCCTGCCGCGAGCTTCGCAATTGTGTTCTTTAAGATTCGATGCCACCTTTCCACAGGTGCATTGGCCTCCGGGTGATATGGCTCGATGAGTTTGATAGGTACACAGAGTCTTTTAAGTATTCCCAACACTTCTTGGTTCACAAACTCCGTTCCATTGTCTGCTATAAACCTCTTGATGAAGGGATGCCTCAGGTAAAAATCTTTTATTCAATCTGCTACACTTTTCCCCGTCTTTTTCTTAAGGGCGACTGCTTCTATGACCCCGCTCAAGTTGTCCCGCGCGTCCAGGATATACCTGTATCCATCAGTGGATACGGGCATAACCGCAAGGTCAAGGTGGACCAGATGTCTCGGTCCCAGCACCCGTGTTGGCCTAAGTGGTTCGAAGACGCGTGTCGAGCTTCCCCCCTGGCAGATCACACAGGTTTAACACTACGTGGCGACCATTCCTGCCATGCCTGGCCAATAATAAAGGGGTGTAATCTTTGCCAGGGTCCCTTTGGACGATCGATGTCCTCCCTCCAGTCCGTCGTGCATTGCCTGGATGACGTCCAGCTGCCTAGGCCTTCCGCATACAACCCTTCTAGGCATAACACCTTCCTCCCTTTTGAACAAATAACCGCTCCTTAGGACGTATCTTTCGGCCTCCTCCCTTGCCTTAATGCTGACCTCCACGGACTGTTTATTTCCTACCAAACGCAACCCGATCTCTTGAAAGACCCCTTCGTACATCTGGACATAGAAAAACTATTTCCCTTCCTGATCCTCACCCTGCCTTTCCTGCATCTGGTTTACCATTAGCTGCAGCTCTCTCCGTTCCCAGGACTCCACTAGGCTCATCGCAGCTTCTCGGCCTCCCTCAACGACCATCGCTAGCAGTTCCTCCTTTGGACCTACTATCGCCCCCCACGAATCCTTCTCCTCTTTGCGTCCCCGGATGGTGACCGGCCCTTCCCTAAGCTCCGCCACTACAGCAGGAGCCCCTTTTTCCAAGGTTTGGATCAACAATTCTCCCGACACGCATCCTTCCCTCATCATTTTATTATCTACCGCAAGGGCTCCTCCTTCGTATTGAAGGACGCGTCTATGGGCTCTGCATCTTCCACCCCTTTGGGCATGATACAGACTTGACTTAGCCCATCAGCCTTGTTTATGAGTCCAGCAATTCGTTCGATCTTGTAATCGAACTGCCAGATGGATCATACCCATCTTCCCACCGTCGGATTTATAGGTTTGTAATTCTTTAGAGCCCTTGCGACATTCGTTGGGTCGATCCTTAGGATGAACCGCCTCCCAAATAGGTAGGCTTGGAAGGTCTTGAAACAATGCAAAACGGCTAGGACCTCCTTCTTGAACTGTGAGTACCGCCGTTCTACGGAGTTCAGGGTTCTACTTTCGAACCTAATTGGCCTCTCTTTTTCTTCCTCATCCCTTTGAATCAGTACGCCCCCTACGGCCAAGGGTCCTCCGTCCGTCTCTTGAATGAATGGTCGTCCCACTTCGTCGTTACAACAGGGCGCTGCCAAGGCGACTTGCTCAGACGTCAGTATGTCCTTGAGGGTTTGGACGGCTCCCTTCCGCTCCTCCGTCCAATCCATGGTTCCTTCTTCTCTAATCATGGTCCGGATAGGCTCAGCAATCTTGGCAAAATTTTTAATAAAAATCTTCCAAAAGCCGACCGCGCCTATGCCTTTACCTCCGTCGTTGTGCGCAGGGGCGTTGGCCACTGCGGTATCTTGTCGGTCTTTGCTGGATCCGGCTTCCTTCCATATGCGCCACAGCGGAATCCAAGTATGGTTACTTCCGGTACTACTCGAATACTTTTTGGTCCGCTAGCCGTGATGTTGTATACTAGAAACCAGTGGAGTAAGTCTTTGATGTCCTGCAGATGATCCCACACAAATTTCCGAATTCCCGGTTGGACCTACGTCTCGTTCTTCTCCTGGGTGCCTATGGTCGGGTTGTCGTCGATGTAGGGTTCACACTTCTTTGGAAACATGTCTCCGGCTACGACGAGCATTCTCCTTTGCGCTTCGGCTAATGCGTTCGTAAAGCCCATAGGGGTCACCTGCATCTGCAACTGGCCTACGAGGGTGTGCATTGCGGTGTATGGTCTGTCCCGAGCATCCAATGGAAGTTGGTCGTAACCTGAATACAAATCTATCAGGGAGTAAATGCTCCGACCGGCGTGGGATTCTGCTAATAAGTTTGCATGTGGTAGCGATCTGGCATCCCGGATGGTTACCACATTCAACTTTCGCAGGTCTTGAATCCACCTCAGCGTCTTGTTGGGTTTCCGAAAGACGAACCACCTATTTGCATACGGTGATGCGGTAGGTTCTGCAACGAAGGAGTCCATTTTTGCTTGGAGAAGGTCTATCACTTCTCCTGCTATTCCGAATCCGTAGGACGGTCCTTTGTCATTCCAGCATTCATGCTCTACGGTGTGGATCCTGACCGAAGGGATTAACTTTGCGTCTAACCACCCCTTTTGATGATCACTAAAGGCAAATGTCAGATGAAACTTCTGACACGTCCTTTTGATCAGGCGGTTTTCTTCTTCTGTTAAGAATCCCTCTATCCCTATCTTCATCTGTCAGCTACTTCATCTGGTATCCGATGTCCCTCCATTGCTCGCCTCTCTCGGATTACTCGAAGAACCTCCTCTTCCCTCTCCATAGCCTCTTCCTTAGATGTCTCCAGCAGGATTGAGACTAACTTTGCTTTCTTCCTTACTGGCTTGTACTTTCGAACACTTCCTTCCAGGATCTTTCTCCTAAAAAACGAACGGTTGGAATTACCCTTGTCCCCTCTACGACCCGTGGTTGAATACTGACTATCTTTCCATTCAGACAATATCCCTTTTGTACTTCCTTTTCAAATTTGGTCAGTGTCGCCGGGTCCACCCCTACTTTGTGATATCTCATAGCCTTGATGAGCTGTAATAATCGGGGATCTCAAGCGCGACTTCCGACGCCTCTATGCGTACCTCTTTCTGTTTGGACAGTTTGACCCCGAGTTCAACCTCCACTTCCCTTTCCGCCACCATGACACCTAGGATTTCATCCTCTTGCCTTCTCTTCTTCTGAGGCAGGCCCATCTTGATCCATTCCTTCTTGTTAAATACTTCCTCAATCATAATTTCTACCCTCTCTCTCATACCTTCCATTCGCGTGAAAACCCCCTTCCGGGCGCTATCTTCGAATGACGGTGACCACGTTACCAACTTCCCTTTAGGCGGGTCTCCCCCGGTCCCGATGAGTCGGAGGAGCTCCCCACGACCAGTTACTGGGTCCTCTAAGTCCACTATATACGTGCCATCATGCAGATGCATCCCTATCATTTCTACATTGGCGCGCCATGGTCTCCCGAGGATTATGTCATGGTCTATGTCGTCTACCACGGTCATCCGCTGAAATGACCAAATCAACTCCCGGATGCCTGCCTTGACTGCACATTTGGTGACGTACCCTAAAAACGGGATCTCGCGACCGGCCCCTCGGATGCTTCCCATTACCTCCTTGTTAACTACATAACCGCTAATTGTTGTGAAATCTCTTCTTATGAGTGTGATTTCCGCACCTCCGTCTACTAGAGCGTCTGTGTGATGTGTCACGATCTGCACCTTTAACTTTCCTACGGGCAGTGCATGGAAACTAAGCTTCGTCCCCGGTGGAGCCCTCATAACCTCCCCGCCTTCGCGGTCTGGTAAGCTCAGGCGGATGTTCGCAAAGGCCTTTTTCTAGATCCTCCAAATCTCCAGGACTCCTCTGGAGATAAGCTACTTCTTGCGGAGCTTCCTGCTCCGTTTCCATTTCCCGTGATTCCGGATTTTCGAAAGGGCTACGACCTTGACACTTCAGGACTGTAGCAGCTACGACCTTGACTCCTCGAAGGAGCTACAGCTACGACTTCCAGAACTCGCTAAGACTCCTATTCAACAGGTCTACAAATCGAACCCCTATAACCTACAAACCTACGACAACCTACCAACTGTGGGAAAAAACATAGGTCGTGGGTTCAACTCCTGTGGTTGATACAGATACTGTACACAGGTAAGGTAAAGACTAGGGATCGAGCCCTAGGGTCTGCATCGGCTATTGTGAACAGGTGAATACCGTTTCAACCGAAAGCAAGAATGACTAACTCCTAATTAGATTTAAGGGTGCCGCAAAGAAATTCAAATTTTCAGAATAAATAAAAATAAAGTGAAATAAATCAGAAAATTAGAAAAGAAGGTGGGGAATAAGAAAATTCGAATTTTTTGGAAAACAAAGGAAATATAAATCAAAAGAAAGATAAAAAGAAGAAAAACAGAAAAATTTTGAAGTTGGGGGGGGGGGGGGG